GATGAGATTTAAAATATGAAAGACTGGATTAAGATACGCGAAATTCTAAAAAATATTCAAAATCGACAAAATAAAAATCAGGCTATTTACTTAGTCGGTATGGTTGATTTAAACGAATTGGATATTTCATGGTTGATTGATGAAGACTACATTGAAATTGATGATGCTATTTCTTACTTAGATAATAGAGATATTGTTTTTATTAAGGATTTAACTTTTAAGGGTAAAAAATTGCTCTATCAGCTCAGTATTTAAATCTATTTTTTATAAAAACGAATGAGGGCGTTTTATAACAATAATGAAGAATTAAAATAAATAATAATTTAATTTTTTATTTTAATAAGAACAAACAAAATATAAAGCTTTATTATAATAATTTGATAAATATAAATAATAATAAAAAACATGATAATTAATAATTTTAATCCAAATCAATATTCAATTATTGGTTTGGATTTTTTATATTCTGCAACCCCGAAATTGATGCTTTAGTTGTCATTCACGAATTAAAACTTGTTAATTTGTTGAACACTCGCTAAAAGTAATGATGTTTATACATTGGCAATAAAAAGGATTTTAGGATGAAACGTCCAAAGCATATTGATAAAGCTGAATGGGAAGCACGTTGTCAGTTGGCAGCCCTTTATCGTTTGATTGCTCACTATAGAATGACCGATTTGATTGATACTCATATCAGTTTACGTGTCCCGCATGAGCCTGATCATTTTCTGATTAACCGCTATGGGGTGACATTTGATCAGATGAAAGCATCAGATTTGGTGAAGATTGATCATGAAGGAAATATCGTGGCAGATTATGATCGAGGGAAAATGGTCAATGTCGCAGGCTTCGTCATTCATTCTGCCTTACACCATGCCAAAGATGATATTCACTGTGTTATTCATACCCATACGGCAGACGGGATTGCGGTGTCTGCACAAGAAAAAGGTTTATTGCCTTTGTCGCAACATGCACTGAAATTTTATAATAATATTGCTTATCATGAATATGAGGGCATTGCGTTTTCCACCGCAGAGCGAGAGCGTTTGGTTGAGGATTTGGGCAATTACCGTTGCATGATTTTACGTAATCATGGTTTGCTCGCCACTGGTAATAGTATCGCAAGAGCATTTCACGAAATTTACTTTTTAGAACGGGCTTGTCAAGTTCAGATCAAAGCCATGAGTAGCTCGAAACTGCATTATCCGAGTAAGCAAATATGTGAATATACGGTCAAGCAATTTGAAAGTGATGCTGCTGAACCAATTATTCAGGCCGCTTGGAATGCTGCTCTATCATTGATTAAAGATCAGAAAAAAAATTATTGTGCTTAAACACTGCTGCTAACTTATTCAACAAGCTCGACATAAAAAAACCTCCATATATTACATACGGAGGTTTTTTATTGCATACGGATTAGCTGTTTAAATCAAACCAAATAAACTGGCTATCTTCATGTGCAGTGAGTGTTGAATCTTCGTCAAATAAATAAGCATCACCTGCTTTAACGACTTGACCGGCAATATCAATTTCACCGTCGATCACATGTACATAGTTAAATTTTTGGGTTGCTTTCACTTCAAGTGTGTGACCTTTTTCCAAATATGCCGCTTTAATTTCAGCATCTTGACGAATATGCATCGGGGCATTGTCATTTGGCCCCACAATCAATTGCCATTCATTAGGTGATTTTTTAGGATCACGTTCAATTTGTTGATAATTTGGTTCAGCATCTTGAACATTTGGAATCACCCAAATTTGTAACATATGAACGGCTTCATCACCTTGGTTGATTTCACTGTGTTGTACACCTGTACCCGCACTCATCAATTGCCATTCACCGGCATGGATATGACGTTCATTTCCCATGCTGTCTTTGTGTGAAATGGTACCTTTGAGGACACAGGTCAAAATTTCCATATTGTCATGTGGATGAGTACCGAAACCTTTATGTGCTGCAATGGTATCGTCATTGATTACACGTAAAGAACCAACACCCATATATTTAGGATCGTACCAACTACCAAAAGAGAAACTATGTTTGGTGTCTAACCAACCCATTTTTACGTGACCACGGTTTTCGCTGTGATGTAAAAAAGTATTCATCTCAAGTCTCCAATTCTTTATTTTTTAACATGAGTGAATATTAATATTTAAGTAATTGGGATGAAATAGAAAAATAGCAACATATTGTTTTGTTTTTAGAACGATCAGTTTTTTATCTTTTGCAATAAAAAAACCAGTGTATGCACACTGGTTTTCATTTCATCAAGTATAAGATTATTCTAAGAATTTAACTGTTACACCCGATTTAACTTTTTTACCTAAGTCATTGGCATCCCAGTTGGTCAAACGAATACAACCATGTGAAGCTGTTTTCGAAATAGCAGATGGGTTTGGCGTACCATGAATACCAAATGATTTCTTACTCAAGCCAATCCAGATATTCCCTACAGGGGCATTTGGACCAGGTGGTAATGATAATGGTTTTAAGTTTTTGCCTTGTACAAAGTTACTTGGCGAGTAACTATACCAAGGGTTGCGTGCAACACCGGTAACTTTATACGTTCCTGTTGGCGATGGTGTATCAGAACTACCAATCGTGGCAGGGAATGAGCCGACCATTTGGTTTTGCGCATTAAATAAATACAATTGTTTCGCGCCTTTATGCGCCACAATTAAATGGATATTTTCAGGCAATTCGTTACGGATATTGGTGACAACGATCTTTTCACCAACTTTGTTAAATGTTGCTTTAGGATTAAGTTTCTTTAAGAACTCTTCATCCATATGGAATTTTTCACCCAGCATTTCGGTGACACGGGTGTAATACAAACCTGGCATTTTTGCTTGTAAAGCATAATCACGTGGAATTGATTTTGCATAAGGACCTTTTAGATCTTCAGCAGTTATCGTGTATTCTACAAAAGCAGGTTTATTGCCTTGTTGAGAAATTAATGCATCCCAAGTTTCTTTGGTCAGCTCACCCGTTGGTTTAATGCCATTCATTTGTTGGAATGAAGCAATGGCTTTCAGCGTATTCATACCGCTTGAACCATCAATTGCACCAGGTGAAGCATGTGCATTATTTAACATGACATGGGCACGAGCATAGACAGGGAATTGACCCTTGCCAATATTTTCGTACCATTCTGCATTGTTGATTCCATCTAAAGTCCAAGATGCTTTAGGCGCGTTGGGATTGCTTGCCGTTTTTGCAGTCGTGGTCTGTGGAGCCGATGGGGCAATAGCAGTACCTGAGTTTTTATCCTCAGTTTTTTCTAAATTTTGTAGCGTGTTTGCAGCTTTGTCTAAGTCTTGTTGCTCTTGCTGGCTTATCTGTGTTTCTACACTTGAAGCAGAACTGTCAATAGCAAGTGGATCAATAGGATCTTCAACGGGAGCAGCAACTTTTTTAGGCGTTAGAGGTTGCTCAGCTGTAGATGCAGCAAAAGCTGTACCTGTTAATAAACAGCTTAAACTCAAAGCAAGAATTGAGCGAACGAACATGTAGATCAACCTTAAGAATTATTCATAATTTATGACTAAAAATCTGGGTAAGTATTGCAGAAATTATAAGGTGTTGCAGTATTTGTTTTGTGTTAATCATTTTTTTCTATAGACATTTTCTCAGTCAGCTGGTTTTGTTTTATTTTCGTATACCAAATGAAATTTAAATCAAAGTCATCAAACTAAAACTTTATTGAGAAAAATTTTCTAGAAATGGTTATGTAGCAGGCCTTTTTGCTATGATGGGGCGAATTTAATTTTTGATTGGGAAAGTAAATGACGACCTTAAAAAATGATCGTTTTCTACGTGCCTTATTGCGTGAGCCTGTAGATACGACTCCGGTTTGGATGATGCGTCAGGCTGGGCGTTATTTACCAGAATATCGTGAAACACGTGCGAAAGCAGGTGATTTTCTTTCTCTTTGTAAAAATACAGAATTTGCTTGTGAAGTGACTTTACAGCCTTTGCGCCGTTATGAGCTTGATGCCGCAATTCTATTTTCAGACATTTTGACTGTTCCCGATGCTTTAGGTTTAGGGCTTTATTTTGAAACAGGTGAAGGCCCTAAATTCCATAAAACAGTTCGTACTGAACAGGATGTGGCAAATTTACCCAAATTCGATGCCAAATCTGATCTGGCTTATGTCATGAATGCGGTTTCAACCATTCGTTCAGCTTTGGGTGGTCAAGTGCCTTTAATTGGTTTTTCAGGTAGTCCGTGGACCTTGGCAACCTACATGGTGGAAGGTGGTTCAAGTAAAGATTTCCGTTTTACCAAACAGATGATGTATGCACAACCTGAAGTTTTACATGCTTTATTAGATCGTTTAGCCGATGCTGTAATTGACTATTTAAATGCTCAAATTGAGGCTGGTGCTCAAGCTGTACAAATTTTTGATAGCTGGGGTGGTGCATTAGCGCATCGTGAATATCTAGAATTTTCACTCAAATATATGCAGAAAATTGTTGCAGGATTAAAACGAGAGCATGAAGGGCGTAAAGTACCTGTGATCTTATTTACCAAAGGCGGTGGTCAATGGTTAGAGCCAATGATTGCTACAGGTGCAGATGCATTTGGTTTAGATTGGACAACCCCATTAAACGTGGCTCGCCAAACAGTGAATGGACGAGCAGCGCTACAAGGAAATCTAGATCCTGCAACATTGTATGGTTCAGCTGATTCTATTGAGAAAGCAACCAAAGCCATGTTGGATGATGCTTATGCCAATGGTGAGAAAACAGGTTATATCGCCAACTTAGGTCATGGTATTACACAATGGGTTGATCCTGAAAAACCAAAAGCATTTATTGACACTGTACACCAATACAGTGCCAAATATTTAGGTTAACTTATTGTTGTAAATGCATTTATGATCTATTTTAAATCATTATATGAATTTTTATTTAAGGCAGCATCGGCTGCCTTATTTGGTATTTTATTGCTGATTGCATTTGTCATTACGGCAAGCATGGGCAGCCATGAATTTTATGGTTTGTTTCGTTATGACTATTTATTGTTATATGCGTTGATCATTCAAGCCTGTTTATTGTATTTAAAATTAGAATCCTGGGCAGAAGCGAAAGTTATTGCTTTATTTCATATCATGGCCATGGCTATGGAAATATTTTTAACACACCCGCAAATTGCCTCTTGGCAATATCCGCAACCTGCCGTTTTTAAACTTTTGACTGTGCCTTTATTTGCAGGATTTATGTATTCGGCAGTCGGTAGTTTTTTTGCACGTTCACTGCGTTTGTATCAGGTTTCTTTTTTAAATTTGCCTAGTTTTGCCAATATGTTGAGTCTGGCAGTATTGTCATATATCAATTTTATGAGCAAATTCTTTATTCCAGATTTTCGTAATGTATTGTTCATTTGGAGTGTGGTAATTTTTTGGAAAACAAAAATTCGCTTTAAATTACAACAGCATGAATTTCAGCTTCCGATGTTACCGGTATTAGTTGTTTTGGCATTTATAATTTGGGTTGCTGAAAATATTAGTACTTTTAATAAAATTTGGTTGTACCCGAGTCAGGTGGATGCATGGCATATGGTGGGGTGGGGTAAGCTTGGCTCGTGGTATTTACTGTTACTTTTGAGTCTGGTTTTAGTACTTGAAATTCTCGGAGATCGCAATAAAAAGGGTGAATGGTCACTAAAAAAGTACAATAAATAATTTCGTAATTGTCATATTTAGATTTGCTTATCTAAATTTATGTGATAAATCTAAATAGGTGTAATCAAACTTACACATTAAGGAAAATAACAATTTACATATGTTGAATTAAAACAATGCATATGAAAATTCTGGAGAATTATATGTTAAAAAAAATCGCTTTGGCTGCTGTATTGGCTGCGGGTTCAAGTGTTGCTATGGCTGATCCAGATGTGGGTTGAGGTTTAGGATCGCAAGTTTGGGCTGGTCAATCTGGAAAAATACCTAAGATTTTAGCGGCAACCACCAATGGTCTTTTAACTAACCAATTATTAGGTATTACGTTTGGTACTTTAGGTTGTAATGGCAATGGTAAAGTGACTGCGCAAGTTGTGACCTTTACCAATGAAAACTCAGAAGCACTTGCACGTGATATGGCTGTAGGACAAGGTGAAAGTCTTAACGTACTTGCTTCATTGTTAAACGTTAAAGATGCAGATAAAGCACGTTTTAATGCTGTAGCTAAGTCAAACTTTGCAAGTATTTATTCAGCAGAAAATCAAAATTCTCTACAAGTATTAGCTTCACTTCAACAAGTGATGGCAAAAGACGAAGTATTAAAAGCTTACGTTTAATTGCGTCAAAAACCCTGCCTTGTTGCAGGGTTTTTTTATTTAAATTTTATCAAACACATATTATTGAAAAATGAATCAAGCATGAGTGAACATTGGGCGAACTTTTGTATTGAGCCGACATTTTTTAATTGCGCAGTTTTATAATATATCTATATAAATTGATGATTGAATGAAATATTTAGCACTTAGTTTAAGCTTACTCAGTTCATTGTTTACCGTTCATTTGCATGCGGAATCACTTTTAGAGAATCAGCAGGCATTAGAAAACGCATTAAAACTAGCACAACAAAAACAATTAGCCAGTCATATTACATGGAAACGTTTACTTTATGCAGAAGATGCCTCTGCTAAAGACTTAAATCACAAAAATGCAGGTCACAAAAACACAAATCAAAGCGAAGTCAGTTATTCAGGTTATTTCTTTGCTCAAGATGGTCGACAGAACATCCAAAATGAAATGAATGCAGATATCACTGCACTATTTCAAGTCGCCGATGACAATCAATCCATTCGTTGTAAATTTCCTGCACGTAGTCAATGGCTGATGCAACAACTGAATATTTCACAACAACAATTACCCGTTGTGTCCTGTACTGAGTTTGATCAATGGTATGCACAAATCAAACCCTACCAAGTGACCTTAATTTATGCGACTGATTTTATGGGCAATCCAAGCTCAATGTTTGGACACACCTTGCTTCGTCTCGATCCTAAGGATCAAAAGCAGCTCAACTTAGTCTCTTATGCTGTCAATTATGCAGCCACAGTAAACAGCGATGACAATTGGTCTTATGCATGGAAAGGGTTGGTTGGGAAATATCCTGGCGAATATTCTTTAATGCCGTATTATCGCAAAGTGAAAGAATATGGTGATTTTGAAAGCCGTGATCTTTGGGAATATGAACTGAATTTAAATCCTGAAGAGACCGCATTTTTGGTAAAACATATTTGGGAAATGCAAAAAGTCAGTTTTCCTTATTATTTTGTCAACGATAATTGTGCCTATCGTTTATTGGGTTTGATTGATTTAGTCCGTCCCACATCGAATTTACGTAAGCAATTTACTTATGCAGCGATCCCGATTGAAACCATTAAAGCCGTAGAACAACAGGGATTAGTACGAGAAGCGGTATATCGTCCAGCATTAGAAACACAATTAAATTCGCAAGCCAAACAACATGGTCATGCTTTGGCAAAAAAAGCCCATGCAATTGCGGTACTAGAACCACAACAGATGCAAGCGGCTATCGCTGATTATGATGATCAAGATCGTGCAAAAATATTAGAAATGGCCTATGACGATTTATATTTACAATTCGTTGCTCGTCAGGTCGATGCAAGCTTTACTCAACCGCGTTTTAGACAACTGCTAGGCTTACGTAGTCAAATCCCTATAGAGAAACAACGTTTAGCACCTGTGCGTCCCAAAGTTGATCCAGTCAATGGACATGATTCACGTAAGTGGTCCGTAGAAGCGGGTGAGGTTCAGGGTGAAAAATTTGTACAAATTGATCATCGTCAGGCCTATCACGAACTAAAAGATCCACAGGGCGGCTTCCGTACAGGCACACAATTGTTGTTTCTGGATGGTGCAGCACAATGGCGAGATGATCGACTTAAACTCGAACATCTCGACTTATTAACAGTAAACTCTTATAACCCCATTACCCCGTTTAAAATGCCAATAACATGGGGTTTTACTTTGGGCTGGCAGCAAGAAGCCATTCAAAATGGACAATTTACTGACCAGCAACAACATGGCGTGGTCAGTGCAAAAGCCCAATCTGGTTATACCATTGCAGATGATGATCGTAAGCATCTCTGTTATGCGGAATTACAAACACAGCTTCAAGCAGGTACATCATTGGATAAAGGCTGGCGTGTTGGACTAGGACCAACATTTGGCTGTCAAAATGTATGGTCAGATCGTTTAAACAGTATTGTTCAAGTTGAATTACCCTATTGGCAAGATTCAAGTGAGTGGAATTTACGTATCCAGAGCACACTGCAATATTCGCTCAATCGTCAAAATTCCTTAAACGTCAATTGGGAATACCAACAACAAAACAAACTCGATTGGCAGAAAATAGGTTTAGGCTTTGTACATTATTTTTAAAGATAGATCTGGAAAATCGGATTTTAGAATGTTATTTCGAGAGTAGAGCTTTGAGAATGACATGTTGAGATAAGTATAAATCGATCTCAAGCCAAGGGTGTTTATACAAGTAGATTATTGATTCTCATACGTAGAATCTGTTGCCAATTGTTTAGAAAAGGGCTTTTGGTTTTTATAAAGAAATCACCTTGATAGAGTTCCTTGACTGTATCAAGATAACCCGCATCCACAGCATCTTCCAACTCCTTAAAATCCGCGTGAATTTCTGCCTGTATCTGATAGGTTCTTGCACAGATTAATTCGCCAACCTTATTTTTTAAATAAGAAATCTCAGATTTAAGCGTATTCAAGCTGATCTGTTCATCGCCATAGAGATAAATATGTAGCTGTTCTAGGGTTAAGCCCAAAGGATTTAGAATTAAAATACAGATGATTTCAAACTGCCGTGGCGTTAAAAGCATCGACTGATCATTGATCATTATTTTCTGTGGTACTGAAAACGCATGGATAGTTAAACGATTAAAGGGCTGTGTATACAATTTTTGTGCAATGATCTCTGCACATTGTGTAACGGCCAATTGTCCAAAAATATTTTCTTGATTTAAGCTGTGAAATAAAACCACTTCACCACAGGCTTCCCCTGATGTTAAATCAAGAATAGGCGCACTATAAATATAGTGATCTGGCTTTGTTGCTAAATCCTGATCTTGCTGGAATCCTGCGAATTGATCTGTATTCGCTGAACACCACAGTAGATTTTGTTGCATATCTCTGATTTGTATAACAACAGCAGCGAGCAGCGCCGTGTTGAGTAAATCCTGCTGACATTGAATCAGTGCTGATTGTAAGGCTTGCTGAGAACGTGAGTTTGCTTGAGTGGAGGTTAAATTTTCATTTTTGATTGTTGGTTTTTTAGCAGGTGGCTTTGAGTCCATCGCATAATCCATTTATGCATATATACTAAATAATATCTTAAATTAAATAAACAAATAACAAAGTAAATAAAATATATAAATTTCATTATTTTTCTTTTAATTATTCAATTTTCAATAACTTTTTCCGATTCTCTATGATGTGGGCTATTCAACTTTTCTCCTACCTTTGTTTGATAGATTCATTTAAAAGCAGTTTTTAACAACTGACAAGACGTTATGTTCATGGGATTGAACAAAAAACATTGACGTCATCCAAGGAAAGGCACTTTTTTTGCTTATACAAAAGAAGGCAAATTAAAAAGGAACGATGATGGACGCTCGAAATGAACAATCAACTATCGTAAAAACAGAAGATTCCAAAGAATATTTTGCTCAACGAGAATTAAAAAAGGGTGCTGTTGGCTGGTTACTCTTGGTCGGTTTAGGGGTTGCCTATGTGATTTCAGGTGACTTTGCTGGATGGAACTTTGGTATCGCTCAAGGCGGTTGGGGCGGTATGTTTGTCGCAGTGATTTTTGCTGCGATTATGTATTTATGTATATGCCTTTCGATGTCAGAAATGTCGACCATGCTTCCTACAGCAGGTGGTGGATACAGTTTTGCTCGTATGGCCTTTGGACCATTTGGCGGTTACTTAACAGGAACAGCGATTCTGATTGAATACGCCATCGCTCCAGCAGCAATCGCGACCTTTATTGGTGCATATTGTGAATCCTTGTTTGGAGTGGGTGGATGGTTAATTTATTTAATCTGTTATTTGGTTTTTATGGGGATTCATTTAAAAGGCGCAGGTGAAGCACTTAAAATCATGTTTGTGATTACTGCAATCGCAGTGGTTGCAGTGGTGGTATTCCTTGTCGCGATGATTCCTCACTTTAACAGTGCCAATCTATTCGATATTGCAGTTGACTCATCTAAAGCCGGTGCGAGTAGCTTTTTACCCCAAGGTTATATAGGAATCTGGGCAGCAGTACCGTATGCAATCTGGTTTTTCCTTGCTGTAGAAGGTGTTCCTTTAGCTGCTGAAGAGGCTAAGGATCCGGCTCAATCATTACCACGCGGTTTGATTGGTGCAATGCTGATCTTGGCTGCTTTTGCTATCTTGATTTTAATATTGAGTGCAGGTGCAGCAGGTGCAAGTGTCCTTAAAGATTCAGGTGCACCTTTGGTGGATGCGCTGGTTAAAGTATATGGGCACGGCATGTTGGCGAACTTTGTAAACTTTGTTGGCTTAGCAGGTTTAATCGCGAGTTTCTTCTCGATTATCTATGCCTATTCGCGGCAAATTTTTGCACTTTCTCGTGCGGGTTATTTACCTACGTCTTTATCATTGACCAACAAAAATAAATCGCCATATTTAGCCGTGATTATTCCGGGGATTATTGGCTTCTTATTGTCATTGACCAAACAGGGTGATTTACTGATTTTGATTGCGGTATTTGGTGCGACGATTTCCTATGTTTTAATGATGATGGCGCATATCAAATTACGTATTTCACAACCTAATGTGTATCGTCCATATCGAACACCTGGTGGTATTTTTACCTCCAGTATTGCGTTGATCTTATCAATTGTCGCTGTGGTTGCAGGTTTCCTTGTCGACCCTAAAGTCTGGTTTATCGCTTTAGGGATCTATGTGGTCTTCATTGTTTATTTTCTTGTTTATAGTCGTCATCATCTGATTTCAGGCACACCAGAAGAAGAATTTGCCAGCATTAAGGCAGCAGAACAGGAATTATAATTATGAGTTATCGTTATAGCGTTGCTCAGCAACAATATATTTTCCAAGATTTAAAAACCTTAATGGCTAAGGCTACTCCATTACGTTCTGGTGATGAGTTGGCAGGTGTTGCTGCCAGTAATGCAACGGAACGTGTGGCAGCACAGATGGCTTTGGCAGAAGTCCCGTTAAAAACTTTTTTAAATGAGACGGTCATCGACTACGACAAAGATGATATTACGCGTTTAATTATTGATGAACATCGTGCTGATTTGTTTGCGCCAATTGCGCACTTTACTGTAGGTGATTTTCGCAATTGGTTGTTGAGTGAAGATGCAACTTCTGAAAAATTGGCCAATTTAGCCAAGGGTTTAACGCCAGAAATGGTTGCTGCTGTGAGTAAAATTATGCGTAATCAGGATTTAATTCTGGTTGCAAGTAAATGTGAAGTGGTGACGCAATTTCGCAATACGATTGGTTTAAAAGGTCATTTATCAACCCGCTTACAACCAAATCATCCAACCGATGATGTATTGGGTATTTCGGCCAGCTTATTGGATGGCTTGATGTATGGTAATGGTGATGCTGTGATTGGGATTAATCCAGCCACAGACAACTTACATAATTTGTCGGAATTGTTAAAGTTACTTGACCATATTATCCAAGAATATGAAATTCCCACGCAATCTTGTGTGTTAACCCATATCAGTTCTGGGATTCAACTTGCAGAACGTAATATTCCAATTGATTTAATGTTCCAATCCATTGCTGGTACGCAATTGGCCAATGAAGGCTTTGGTGTTACCTTGGATTTACTTCAGGAAGGTTATGAGGCGACTTTAGCACTCAACCGAGGAACAATCGGTAAAAATGTCATGTATTTTGAGACTGGACAGGGCAGTGCCTTATCCAGTAATGCGCATCATGGTGTGGACCAGCAAACTATTGAAGCACGAGCTTATGCCGTGGCACGTAAATACAATCCATTATTGGTCAATACTGTGGTTGGGTTTATCGGTCCAGAGTATTTGTATGACGGGAAGCAGATTATTCGTGCAGGGTTAGAAGATCACTTCTGTGGCAAATTACTCGGTGTACCTATGGGTTGTGATATTTGTTATACCAACCATGCTGATGCAGATCAAAATGACATGGATGTGTTACTCACGCTATTTGGTGCTGCGGGAATTAACTTTATCATGGGAATTCCAGGTTCGGATGATGTGATGTTGAATTATCAAACCACATCATTCCATGATGCTTTATATTTACGTCAGTTAATGGGATTAAAACCTGCCCCTGAGTTCTCGGCTTGGTTAGATCAGCAAGGAATTTTGCACCAAGAACAACGCCAAATTCATTGGCCAAGCAGTATGCCAAAAAACTTTGCTAAATTATTATCATAAAAAGGAGAGTAAATCATGAAGCTCTCAAAACTTGAAACTTTTCCAAATGGTTTTCATGAAGATCCTTGGCATAAGTTAAAACAATATACTGATGCTCGTATTGCGATGGGAAGAGTAGGATGTAGCATTCCAACTCAAGAATTGCTTAAGTTTCAACTCTCGCATGCACAGGCCAAAGATGCTGTTTTTCACCAATTAGATACTGAAAATATGCAAGCTCGGCTTAGAGATTTAAAATTTGAAAGTCTCATTGTGGAAAGTAAAGCAACCGACAAAGAAGTATATTTAAAGCGTCCTGATTTGGGCCGTGAGTTATCGGAACAGGCTCAAACTCAACTCACGACTTATGTCCAACAGCACCCACAGCAATATGATGTATGTATCGTGGTTGGTGATGGCTTATCTGCACGTGCAATAGAAGAGAATGCCATTGCCTATATCAATTCCTTACGTGAACATATTGATGCTGAAGGCTGGAAACTGGCGCCAATTGTACTTGCTACAGGGAGTCGTGTGGCATTAGGCGATGAAGTGGCGGAAAGTTTTAATGCACCCTTATTGATTATGTTGATTGGCGAACGGCCGGGTCTAAGCTCACCTGACAGTATGGGGGTGTATTACACTTGGAAAGCGCGAAAAGGCAGTATGGATTCAAGCCGAAACTGTATTTCCAATGTACGACCTGCAGGGCTGAGTATTCAAATTGCCACACAGCGTTTAATGGCGTTGATGCGGAATTCATTTAAATTACAACTTTCAGGGGTCGATTTAAAAGATGACCACGTTGTTCCATTACAAAGCGATGAGCATCCTAAAAAATTATTATTCTAATGGCTAAATTTTTTATATCTTGAACAAAGCAGTGCCTTGATGTTTAAGGCACTGCTTTGTAAATACTAGAGTATTTGTTCAAGCTTAAGTGTTGTGAAAACCTTTAATTTTAAAAAATAAATCAAAAACTAAATGTACTTCTCTGAAATATCTTACATTTAATTTCTGTTATGACTCGGCGTTTTTTATTGAATATGCTTGATGCGGCATTTCAGCAAAGTCTATTTTGAACTGAAAAAGACATTTGGACGATCCACTTTTTACACAGTTTAGATCATGCTGTTGATGGTATCGCAAACATATATCGACATACTTTGAGAAACTTATTCGATCGAACTATCAGAAAAAGGGATGCAATGACATGTAAATGAGTCGAAATGACCTATGGAATTATACCCAGTTAAGTAAAATTCTAATAAGCGCACCAGCTAAATTAAAAAAATGATAATCAGCCAGAGGCAGGATCAACCATGGGCATTTTAAAAAAATTTATTAAATCGAGTGTGTATCATGAGCCATTACCTATTCGCCGTGATGTCAGATTTAATTTACCCGCAGAGCGAATCGCAGATTGGCATACCGCCGCAGGTCCAATTTTTACCGCATTGTTAAATACGTTTTCTATTGTCTTGCCTATTGGCGAACGCTTCTTTATTGATGCGGTAAGGGCACATCGTGATTTAGTCCAAGACCCAGAATTACAAAAAGCGGTGACGGCTTTTATTGGTCAAGAAGCAATGCATGGACGTGAGCATGAAGAATATAACCAAGCCTTATTTGCACGCTCACCGATTGCACCAAAATTTGAAGCATTGGTTTTAGAGATTTTTGGTTTGCTTAAACAGTATTTACCAGCATATTTTTGGCTCAGTGGAACAATTGCATTAGAACATTTTACCGCTTTACTGGCAGACTCGGTATTACGAACACCTGAATTATTTGAAGGCGCTGAAGAACATTATGCCAATATCTGGCGTTGGCATGCTTTTGAAGAAACAGAACATAAAGCTGTTGCTTTTGATGTATGGAATACCGCAATGGGGCATGGTCCTTATGCCTATGCTGTTCGTAGTTTTGGATTGGTGGTCGCAACGATTGTGTTCTGGGGCTTAGTGATTCCTGTATTCTTGACCATTGTTAAAGGAGAAGGGAAGTTAAGTGATTTATCCAGCTGGAAAAAGACCTATCATTATACCTTTGGCGGCATTGGTGTATTGAGAAAGCAATTGGGAAATTATATCGATTATTTCCGTCCAAACTTCCATCCATGGGACCATGAGAATCGTCAATACATGCAACAAATGGAACAATTGATTTATCAATTGGCTGAAAAAAAATAATCAAATATCATATTTAAAGGATTGGCTGTGTGTTTGTGATATATCGCACAGCACATGATTTTGAACAGCTTATCGAGTAGATCATCATGGTGATTTACTCGACTAGCTTTAAATCTGTATGAATTAGAAAACTTGAGAAAAATGATTCAACTCAATCATTGATACAAACTATTTAAATAATGTGCCTGCTTGAGAAAGGATCTTTTTACCTTTTTGAGTGACTTCTAATGTGACATCTGCTGTTTCATTTGAACCTAAAACATTACGATAAACCACATATTGATATGTACCACTGTTAAAAATGTAGTGGTGATTACCGCCTGAACCATCCATTTCAACACGACCTTGATTTAAAATCAGATCAGGTTTTGTCGCTTGGGACTGTTTTGTTCCCCAAGATGCATAACGGTATTTACCATTGGGCATAGCATCTATACGCACTTGAAATTTGGCTGTTTTAAACTGTAATTCAGGTGTTTTAAAATTTTTAACTGATGAATGTAATTGATTTTTCTGTTGTGAAATCAATTGCGCTTTATATTTTTGTTCAGCATCACTACTGTAGTTGATGGCTTTAATTTTATGACCATCTAACCATATTGTGCCACCATTGAGCATCACACCACGCCAACCCATACTTTCCCATTGTGATGGTTTTGAGTTGGCGATCTCTTGAATAAGTTGAGTATCAAACACTTGGTTAAAGCGTTGTTTCATCTGGGTTGCATTGGCAATACTTGGGATGGGTTCTTCACGATGTAAGGGATAGGTAATGTTGTTTGAAATCGCGGTGATATTTTTATTTTTAAATAATTTAATGACCCTTTGCACATCTTTTAATTCGTTGGCATTTAGATTGTCGGCAAAGGCGTTAGTGGCAGTTAACGCTGAAATAAAGATCAGTAAATTTTTCATTTAAAATATGGTATAAGGCTGAGATAATTTAAATCATATAGTTTTAAGTGGACAATAAGCGAATGTTTTACAAATATAAGCTATAGGAAAGCAAAAAAATCACAAGTTTTACTGACTCAAACTTCAACCACAACAAAATATTTTTTAACTGCTTCAATCACTTCAAATGTACCGATAAATGAAGGTGGGATAATTCCTGCTTCACCAGCTTTAATTTCTACAAATGATGATGTGTTTTTATCATGCAAACGTACAGTACCTTCAATTAGCTGAAAAAATTCCTGTTTATTGTCTGCAAATTGAATATCCCATGCACCGACCTCGCATTGCCAAATACCACAATTCATATTGGGATGTTCATACAAACTTTGCGTGAGTCGTTTGGGATTTCCTTTAACCAATCGCTCTGCACGAGGATAATCGATAGTGGTTTCACTGTGCGTTAAACCATGACCTGCCAACCAAATTAAAGACATTGTAAAACCCTATCGTAAAATAAAGCCTCAATAAAATGAGGCTTTGCTATTTATATTGCTTTTTGAATGATTAGTCTTAATGCGCTTCAGGCACGGCAGATAAAAACTCACGACGTGCTTCTTTATCTGTTTTAAAATCACCGACAAATGACACGGTACGTGTGGTCGATTCTTGTTTGCTGACACCACGCATCATCATACACATGTGAGCTGAATCAATCACCACCGCAACACCACGTGCTTGAGTAACTTCAGCCACTGCATCTGCAATTTGCTTGGTCAACTGTTCTTGAATCTGTAAACGGCGCGCAAACATTTCTGTGATACGGGCAAATTTAGACAGTCCTAAAACATTGCCAGAAGGGAGATAGGCAATATGTACACGACCATGAAAAGGCAATAAATGATGCTCACATAACGAATAAAATTCGATATTCTTTACCAAGACCATTTCATCATTATCAGAAGGGAAGACCGCATTATTGGTCACTTCTTCCAGCGTTTTGCTATAGCCAGACGTCAAGTACGAAAAAGCTTTAGCCGCACGCATAGGCGTATCTTTCAGACCAGGACGGTCTAAGTCCTCGCCAACGGCAGTTAAAATATTCGCGTAGGATTGCTGCATAGACATAAAACGTGTTCACTTATACGGTTTGAACAAGGACGGCATTGTATCAGAAAAATGAATAATATTTTCTAATTACAAGATAAACCGACACTTAAGAGAGTTTTGATCATTTAAAACAAACGATCATGGATTTCCATTTGATTTTGGATTTCTTTCAGCACGTTTCAGTAAAACCAAAACTGCGCCTGTGCCACCTTGTTTTTCAGGAGCACTGACAAAAGCTAAAACATCACGATGTTGACGAAGCCAGCCATTCACATAAGTTTTGAGTATGGCTTCTGGACCTTTGCCATGGACAATTTTAATGACATTTTGGTTTTCATCTTTTGCCATTTGAATGATTTGCAATACAGCAGAGCGTGCTTCTTCAACAGTACAACCATGTAAATCAACAGCTTCAAACCAGCGTAGATTACCAGCTTTTAAGTCTTCAAAAACTTTATGTTGTAGTGTTGCGATGCGATAGCTTAAAGCCGCCTGACTTGCAACAGGATTTAAAATTGCTTGAGTATCTGACAATTCTGCATCATTAATTTCAAATGCACCTTCAGCCGCCGCGCGTTTGGCAAGGGTTTTTGCATCTGGTTTTTTGCGCAAATCACTACGCTCGATTTTGGCAATATTGCCGTTATCGAGTTTGGTTACACCGCCGAGTGCGGTTTTAAACAAATCAGCATCATCTAACTCTTCAGGTGCTGTTACTTGTGCATTCTTACTTTCAGGTTGCACTGCAACTTTTGAAGAATGCGGAGGAGTGATTTGTTTTTTGAATTGTTTTAATAAATCAAGCTGTGATTTAGAGAATGTGGAATCAGATTTACTCATAATTGCAAAAAACAGTAAATGGACGGTATTAGGCGCTCAGTATAGTCTGAATCTTGTCAAATTTGAACTGAATTGAATTCACACCGTTATATCTGCGTTGATCGTGACTTGAATGTTGGGAATTTAAAAATTTATAGGATGAGTGGGAGAAATATGAAAACAGGGTGAGCGAACTCACCCTTTGACTTTTAATTACACTGTTTCAGGCAGACCAAACAACGCATTAAATGCATGATCAGGGCGTGGTTGCTTCATAAAGCTTTCACCCACAAGGAATGAATGAATATCATGCTCTTGCATCATGCGCACATCATCTGGCGTTGCAATACCACTTTCAGTGATCAGTAAACGTGATGGTGGAAGTAACTTCTTCAAACGCAATGAGGTATTTAAATCGACATCAAAGGTTTTTAAATTACGGTTATTCACACCCAGTAAACAACGCTCTGAAAGTTGCAATGCTCGTTCCAGTTCAGCTTCATCATGAACTTCAACCAAAACATCAAGGTTCTGCTCAAATGCGGTCTTTGACATTTCTTCAAGTTGTTGATCTGACAAACAAGCCACAATCAATAAAATACAGTCGGCATGTAAAGCACGTGCTTCGATAACGCCGTAAGGATTAATCAAAAAATCTTTACGTAGTGCAGGTAATTCACAGTGACTACGGGCGATCTGAATATTTTCATCAGCGCCTTGAAAGAAATCTAAATCTGTTAAAACAGATAAGCAGGCTGCACCGGCTTGCTGGTATTGTTGAGCAATTTCAGCAGGGTTAAAGTTTTCACGAATCACCCCTTTTGATGGCGAGGCTTTTTTAATTTCAGCAATTACACCTGGGCGTTTGCTGTATAAAGATTTTGCAAAACCACGCACAGGCGTTGCAGCTTGGGCAAGCGCTTCAACATCGTTTAAACTACGTTGTTTTAAACGTTGAGCAAATTCTTCGTATTTACGATCAACAATTTTACCCAACATTGTATTGGCAATATCCACCATGATAACGTCCTCTAATCCTTAAGCTTCATACTCTTTGAGTGTTTTGGTAAATTCAGACAAAATGCCCATTTTTTCTAAAGCTTGCCCACCATAGATAATATCATGTGCTAAAGCGACACCTTGTTTATAACTCTTGGTCAGACCTGAAACATAGATACCAGCACCTGCATTTAATGCCAGCATACTGGCTGCTTTTTCACCTTTTGCTGATTTCTTCTTACCGAGTGCATCTTTGATTAATGCTAGGCTCTCAGCAGCACTATCAACAGAAAGACCAGTTAAGGTTTGAGATTCAATATCTACATCTTCTGGTTGAATCATCCATTCCGTGATTTCACCATTTTTTAATTCAGCAACATAAGTTGAGGAAGCCAAACTGATTTCATCTAAGCCATCTTTAGAATGAACCACCATGACATGTTCAGCCCCCAGTTGTTTTAAAACTTCGGCCAATGGTCGACACAATTCTGTAGAAAATACACCAATCACATAGCGACGTACCCCAGCCGGATTCGTAAGCGGGCCAAGGAGATTGAAAATACTACGGAAGCCCAATTCTTTACGAGGACCAGCCGCATATTTCATTGCTTTGTGATGATTTGGGGCAAATAAGAAGCCAACCCCCATTTCACGGATGCATCGTTCTGTCTGGTGCATATTTAAATCAAGGTTAATCCCAGCCTGTTCTAAAAGATCAGACGAGCCTGATTTAGAAGAAACACCACGATTTCCATGTTTTGCAATAGTTGCACCTGCTGCCGCAATAACAAATGAAGAGGCAGTAGAGACGTTAAATAGGTTTTGTCCATCACCACCAGTGCCAACAATATCAATTAAATGCGGGATATCACCCACATCAATTTTAATTGCAAACTCACGCATTACACGTGCGGCAGCGGTGATTTCGTCAATACTTTCACCTTTTAAACGAAGTCCCATCATAAATGCACCAATTTGGGCATCTGTGGCTTCACCACGCATGATGGTACGCATCACTTCTTCCATTTGAGGTTGAGTGAGTTCGATATTTTTAGTGATGTTATTTAAAGCTTGTTGAATATTCATTATCTTGTACTACGCATATTAAGCATAAATTTCTAAAAAGTTTTTAAAGATCTGATGACCATGTTGACTCAGAATGGATTCTGGATGGAACTGCACGCCTTCAATTGGCAATGTCTTATGTTTGACACCCATAATTTCTTCGATAGAACCATCTGGTTCATTGGTCCAGCAAGTAACTTCCAGACATTCAGGCACACTGGCTTGATCAATCACGAGTGAATGATAACGTGTTGCTGAAAATGGAGAAGGTAAGTTGCTGAAGATCCCTTGGTCACTATGATACATGTCGGATAAACGACCATGCATCACCGTTTTGGCGCGAACAATTTCACCGCCAAAAGCCTGACCAATTGCTTGGTGACCTAGGCATACACCGAGTGTTGGAATTTTTCCTGCAAAATGCTGAATTGCAGGGATAGAGATTCCTGCTTCAGAGGGTGAGCAAGGACCAGGACCAATCACTAAGTACTTTGGTTGCCATCGTTCGATATCCTCTAAGGTCACGGCATCATTGCGAACAACTTTAACGTCTTGGTTTAACTCGCCAAAATATTGGACAATGTTATACGTAAAGCTATCGTAATTATCGATCATTAGAAGCATATCAAACTTAACCTTCTGAATTTTAAAACTAATTTTAAACTAGTGCTAAATCGTACTCAATTCTGTACTCAATGTGCTTAAGGTAACTTATTATTGGATATTAAAAAGCCACCTTAATTGGTGGCTATATTAGCATTGTTTGTCGTATCTTTTACAATGGTTTGAACATAACTCAAGAACCAATAACTCTTACGTCCATCTTTAAAAGGGCGAGTAATAAAACCTTCTCTAATTTTACGATCTAGAGTTTCGGGTTCTATATTCAGCATGTGGGCAAATTCAGCTCGCCCAATTCTGCGTTCTTCTTTTTGGCTTACCAGTTGCTCAACAAGACTTGTTAAATGTTTGAGAGATTCAGATTCAATTTTTAATGCGCCCATTAATTTTACTCCTTTCTATTTGCATCACGAATGGCTTTAGCCCAAGCCTCAAGTTTTTCAATTTTTTGATATCGCCATTCTTGGTGTGATTTTTCACTATTTAAATTATCTGATAAAAGCTCACCACACATTCTAATAATTTCATCTGCAGCCTTAGCTGTGAGTTCATTCATTACAACCACCATAAATCTAGATTAATAATTACGAGCCCATTTATTAAAAGCATTAGCTCTAGCAACATGATGGGCAATTCCATTTCAAGCCACCACATTTGATACTGAGTTCTCAAGCTCAAATCGACGTTTACGAACCAGTCCCATTAATTTCGGTTGAATGTCTGGATGACGGGTTGCAACATCAATTTCTAAAATATCCAAGGCTGTTAAATCAGGTGCATTTTGGATCTGAACCACTAATGATGGTGGTTGTTCAGGGGGTGGAGCGGTCGCACCCAATTCACTCAATCTTTTATTAATTGCATCCATCAATGGCTTACGCTGTTCTTCAGTCCAATTGACTGTATATTTATACAAGGCATTAGCTTCAGCAGGTAATTTTGATTTTTTAGCACGTTCTAATAGTTCTTTTAACAGATTGTCATATTGATTATCCTGAATATTCTTTAATGCAGTCGCTTGAAACTCAGCAAGTTTAGAACATTTTGCAAGATTAATTTCTGAGAGTTGTTCTTCGCTAAAACCTTGATCATTCACATCGTGTAGAGTGGTTTTAATTTCTTCCTCTGAAACACATGCATTAATGCCATCTATATAAATTTGATGATCAATGTAACTTGGTTTTGGCGCATATTGTTCAGGATCTAATTCCATCAACTTATTCTCAGTCAATTTGCATAGATGTTGAGTATGTTCACGCTCAAGATGACCATTAGCAAAAAACACTGGGCGTAATAAAAGAACAGCTTCTGTTGTAGTACAGTTTGCAATTTTCGCTGCAAATTTATCAATTATTAAGGCAGGATCTGTTTCAATTTCTGGGGTATCTTCAGTTTTAAAAGCTTCTTTGGTTTTACGAGGAGCTTTAGATTTTTTAGGCTTTTCACTGAAACCGTCTTTAATTTCAATCTCAGTAATCATATTGCCAAACGTTTTACCAAACGCCTGAAGCTGCAGCTGTGCATTTTCAGCATCTAATTGAGCAAATCCATTTGCCACACTCAAACATATATCACCATGTTCTGAGTCGTATTTAGTACGCAAGATACATGTTGGCATCACAATATAGATTTCTTGGCCATTCTCCAGATCGTGTGGTTCTACTGGCTTAGTAAATTGAATATCTGCCAAAGTTAACGATTCACGTTTGATACAGAACTCATAACCAGGTAAAGCAAAGATCGTAGCAGGGAATTGATTTAAGTCATCAAAGTCCATCAATTCGCCAACAGCGCGGCACATAATATTTTTACCAGCCATAAGTGCTGAAAATGCTTCATTACTATTTAATAAATTCATTTTTTATTTTCCTTAGTGCTGCATTTGATTTTGTTGTTGAACCTGGTTTATCGGCGGCGCTTCATTCCATCCCATTTGATCTGCTCGAGCACGGCAGGCTTTTGATATACCTGACTCGTATTGAGTGCCTTTGAATGTGTTGATTGCTTTATCAAGGGTTTGAGGATTTTTAGCATCTTTTATAGCTAGAAGTGCATCGTTATAACGCTGAGCTAATGGCTTTTGTTGCTGGCCACTAGCTTGATTATTTTGATTACGATTCGGTTGTTGGGCTTGTCTTGAGTTTTGCTGGTTGTTATTGTGTGTAGCACCCTGATTAACTTGGTTATGATATTCATCCGAGTCATAGTCTTTGGTGTCATCAATTAAGAACAAGCCATTCAGCGCGTATTTACGGGCATATGAGCTGGATGCGCCAAATGTCTGAGCCACATCCATACCTTTCTTGCTAATTTCAACACCAGCATGGGCTTTTACCGTAGTTTCTTTGCCGTTTGCATCTGTAAAAATTACTTTTGCTGTAACAACGACTACACCACCGACTTCTTGAACCTCATCTGTGATTACCAGGGAAGCATCATATTTCTGAAGAAGCGGTTTAACTGCTTCCAGAATATCCTCACAGTTTCGATAGTTGTAATTACCGAAAGTGTTCTTTTTACTTTTAGGTGCTTTCAATTCAAGTTGAATTTGTTGAAGAACATTTGAAACTTGGTTATTAGAATTTGTCATGATTATGCTCCAGTCCATCCCATGCGTTTTTTGTATGCGCGACGTTCGTAAGAGGGAATATTTGAATTTTGAAGACCAATAGCCAATGCTTTACGCTTTTGAAATTTGCGCTCACGTTCAAAATTAAGGTTAATCCAAGGTTTATCTAAGTGTTCAGCGAATTCGATAAGGTACAAATAGCCTGATTTACTAACTCGGTAAATTTCGCCATTTTTCTGAATGTATTCAGATGAATATATACGCATACGGAATTCGCCGTTTTCATCACTAATAAACTCTGATTTTTTTGGAGTTGATGTATTCATTAGAAAGACTCCACTAATTTATTACGCTCGATATAACCAACAATCATTTGATTAATCATTCGATGATCGTTGTAGTCAGTAAAGTCATTCCATTCTTGACCATTTACGTCCGTGATTTTCTCAATTGCCAAGTTTGTAATATCAACAGTTGTGAATTCTGAACCAGGTACGCCGTAGCTATCTGGATGAGATTCAAAATCAAAACTAACTTTAAGTAAGAAGCTATCAAGTTTAATTACAGCCATGCCTGATGAATCAGAGGTGATTTTTAAAGCATCAACGGTGTAAGTTGATTGGGTGATATTTGGTATTGCTACTGGTGGTTTGTATTGAGTTGTTTTCTGGTCATATGTAAGACCGACAGCACCAACAGTGACTAAACCACTTATTACTGCGACTTTGAGAACCCCCATAGGCTGTAGACGATGTGTAACAATAGG